TATTATTTATATATTATATATTATATATAATATATATTATATATATATTATATATATATATATTATATATATTATTATATAATATTATATATATATATATAATATATATTAATATATATATATATATATTATATATATATATATATATATATATATAATTTTATATATATATATTTATATATATATATATATATTTATATAATATATATATTTATATAATATTATATTATATATATATATATAGGTAGTAGGTTGGTAGACAGCAACCACCCAGGGAGGTACTACCGTCCTGCCAAGTGAGTGTTAAAACAAAAGCCTGTAATTGTTTTACATGATGGTAGGATTGCTGGTGTCTTTTGTCTGTCTCATAAATATGCAAGATTACAGGTACGTCTTGCTACTTCTACTTACACTTAGGTCACACTACACATACATGTACACGTTTATTTATACACACTCATCTGAGTTTTCTTTGATTTTATCTTAATAGTTCTTTGTCTTATTAATTTTCCTTTTATATCCATGGGGAAGTGGAATAAGAATCTTTCCTCCGTAAGCCATGCGTGTTGTAAAAGTCAACTAAAATGCCGGGAACAATGGGCTAGTAACCCCTTTTCCTGTAAAGATTACTAAAAAGAATAAGAAGAAGAAAATTGTCAAAGTGGGAAGTCTGAATGTGCGTGGATGTTGTGCAGAAGATAAGAAAGAGATGATTGTGGATGTTATGAATGAGAAGAAGCTGGATGTCCTGGCTTTAAGTGAAACAAAGCTGAAGGGGGTGGGAGAGTTTCAGTGGAGAGGAATAAATAGGATTAGGTCAGGGGTTTCAAATAGAGTTAGAGCTAAAGAAGGAGTAGCAATAATGTTGAAGGATAAGCTATGGCAGGAAAAGAGGGACTATAAATGTATTAATTCAAGGATTATGTGGAGTAAATAAAGATTGGATGTGAAAAGTGGGTTATAATAAGCGTGTATGCACCTGGAGAAGAGAGAAGTGTAGAGGAGAGAGAGAGATTTTGGGAAATGTTGAGTGAATGCGTGGGGAGTTTTGAATCAAGTGTGAGAGTAATGGTGGTTGGGGATTTCAATGCTAAAGTGGGTAAAAATGTTATGGAGGAGTAGTAGGTAAATTTGGGGTGCAGGGGTAAATGTAAATGGGGAGCCTTTAATTGAGCTATGTGTAGAAAGAAATTTGGTAATAGTAATACATATTTTATGAAAAGAGGTAAATAAATATACAAGGTATGATGTAGCACATAATGAAAGTAGTTTATTAGATTATGTATTGGTGGATAAAGGTTGATGGGTAGGCTCCAGGATGTACATGTTTATAGAGGGGCAACTGATATATCGGATCATTATTTAGTTGTAGCTACAGTTAGAGTAAGAGGTAGATGGAAAGAGGAAGGTGGCAACAAACAAGTAAGAGGGAGGTGAAAGTGTATAAACTAAGGGAGGAGGAAGTTCGGGTGAGATATAAGCGACTATTGGCAGAAAGTGGGTTAGTGCAAAGATGAGTAGTGGGGGGTTGAAGAGAGTTGGAATAGTTTTAAAAATGCAGTATTAGAATGTAGGCAGAAGTTTGTGGTTATAGGAGGGTGGGGGCAGGAGGAAAGAGGAGTGATTGGTGGAATGATGAAGTAAAGGGTGTGATAAAAGAGAAAAAGGTAGCTTATGAGAGGTTTTTACAAAGCAGAAGTGTTATAAGAAGAGCAGAGTATATGGAGAGTAAAAGAAAGGTAAAGAGAGTGGTGAGAGTGCAAAAGGAGAGCAGATGATAGAGTGGGAGAGGCACTGTCAAGAAATTTTAATGAAAATAAGAAAAAATTTTGGAGTGAGTGTTAAACAAATTAAGAAAGCCTAGGGAAAATATGGATTTGTCAGTTAAAAAACAGAGTAGGGGAGTTAGTAGATGGGGAGATGGAGGTATTGGGTAGAGTGGCGAGATATTTTGAGGAACTTTTAAATGTTAAGAAGAAACAGAGGCAGTAATTTCATGCACTGGTCAGGGAGGTATACCATCTTTTAGGAGTGAAGAAGAGCAGAATGTAAGTGTGGGGGAGGTACGTGAGGCATTACGTAAAATGAAAGGGGTAAAGCAGCTGGAACTGATGGGATCATGACAGAAATGTTAAAGCAGGGGGGGATATAGTGTTGGAGTGGTTGGTGCTTTTGTTTAATAAATGTATGAAAGAGGGGAAGGTACCTAGGGATTGGCAGAGAGAGTGTATAGTCCCTTTATATAAAGGGAAAGGGGACAAAGAGACTGTAAAAATTATAGAGGAATAAGCTTACTGAGTATACCAGGAAAAGTGTACAGTAGGGTTATAAATGAAAGAATTAGAGGTAAGACAGAATGTAGGATTAAGGATGAGCAAGGAGGTTTTAGAGTGGGTAGGGGATGTGTAGATCAGGTGTTTACATTGAAGCATATATGTGAACAGTATTTAGATAAAGATAGGGAAGTTTTTATTGCATTTATGGATTTAGAAAAGGCATATGATAGAGTGGATAGAGGAGCAATGTGGCAGATGTTGCAAGTTTATGGAATAGGTGGTAAGTTACTAAATGCTGTAAAGAGCTTTTATGAGGATAGTGAGGCTCAGGTTAGGGTGTGTAGAAGAGAGGGAGACTACTTCCCGTAAAAGTAGGTCTTAGACAGGGATGTGTAATGTCACCATGGTTAATATATTTATAGATGGGGTTGTTAAGGAAGTAAATGCTAGGGTGTTCGGGAGAGGGGTGGGATTAAATTATGGGGAATCAAATTCAAAATGGGAATTGACACAGTTACTTTTTGCTGATGATACTGTGCTTATGGGAGATTCTAAAGAAAAATTGCAAAGGTTAGTGGATGAGTTTGGGAATGTGTGTAAAGGTAGAAAGTGAAAGTGAACATAGAAAAGAGTAAGGTGATGAGGGTGTCAAATGATTTAGATAAAGAAAAATTGGATATCAAATTGGGGAGGAGGAGTATGGAAGAAGTGAATGTTTTCAGATACTTGGGAGTTGACGTGTCGGCGGATGGATTTATGAAGGATGAGGTTAATCATAGATTGATGAGGGAAAAAAGGTGAGTGGTGCGTTGAGGTATATGTGGAGTCAAAAAACGTTATCTATGGAGGCAAAGAAGGGAATGTATGAAAGTATAGTAGTACCAACACTCTTATATGGGTGTGAAGCTTGGGTGGTAAATGCAGCAGCGAGGAGATGGTTGGAGGCAGTGGAGATGTCTGTTTAAGGGCAATGTGTGGTGTAAATATTATGCAGAAAATTCGGCGTGTGGAAATTAGGAGAAGGTGTGGAGTTAATAAAAGTATTAGTCAGAGGGCAGAAGAGGGTGTTGTTGAGGTGGTTTGGTCATTTAGAGAGAATGGATCAAGTAGAATGACATGGAAGCATATAAATCTATAGGGGAAGGAAGGCGGGGTGGGGTCGTCCTCGAAAGGGTTGGAGGAGGGGGTAAAGGAGGTTTTGTGGGTAAGGGGCTTGGACTTCCAGCAAGCGTACGTGAGCGTGTTAAATAGGAGTGAATGGAGACGAATGATACTTGGGACCTGACGATCTGTTGGAGTGTGAGCAGGTAATATTTAGTGAAGGGATTCAGGGAAACCAGTTATTTTCATATAGTCGGACTTGAGTCCTGGAAATGGGAAGTACAATGCTGCACTTTAAAGGAGGGGTTTGGGATATTGGCAGTTTGGAGGGATATGTTGTGTATCTTATATGTGTTATGCTTCTAGACTGTTGTATTCTGAGCACCTCTGCAAAAACAGTGATAATGTGCGAGTGTGGTGAAGTGTTTGAATGATGATGAAAGTATTTTCTTTTTGGGGGATTTTCTTTCTTTTTTGGGTCACCTGCCTCGGTGGGAGACGGCCGACTTGTTGAAAAAAAAAAAAAAAAAAAAAAAAAAAAAAAAAATTTAATTATATATATACTATATATATTTATATATATATATATATATATATATATATATATATATATATATATATATATATATATATATATAGATATATATATATTATTATTATAAATATATACATATTTAATATTTTATAGATATATATATATATATTAAATATACTATATATATAAATATATTTATTATATATATCTAGAGGGGCAACAATATTAGATCACTTTCTATGTTTAGCTACACTTAGTATAAAGGTACGATGGATTCAAGATAAGCTCTGGGGGTTATTTTACAATATATTATAATGTGAGCATTAAAGATAAAACCTATTATATCTATGAAGCAATAGATTGGTCGAATAAAAATCAAAATTATTGTATAAGTTTCACAATTCTGTGGTTTAATGTATTGTGCTGCAATGTATGCACTGTTTGATTCTGGGACCTATTTCAAACTGGATATATTTTTAAAATTGGGTGATAGCAATGGGGTACAAGATCATGGGAAACTGGTTAATGGTGTAGATTAGAAATAGGGATTAGAAGTGTGAGTTATGCCAAATTGGATAAAATTGGAAAGAATACTAGAAAAGTAGCTAAGAATTTGTCTTAAATAGAGAGTGACTTAATGGTAGGAATATTTTGGAAAAAATGTGAGGGAAAAATTGATAGTGTGGTAAATATCGTAAGAAAGAAAAAAACTTGGAATGGTAGATTATCGTCAATTTTCTATAAAAATTTTGTAATTCTTGTTAAGAGCCTTGAGAAAATAGTATCATGTTAAGAGGTGAGGAATTTTTTTGGAGTTTTTGGAAATTAAAATTTTGAGGTTGGTACAAGTTTGAGTCAGGAGGTCTGATTTCTTATAGAAAGGGAAAATCATACTTGATAGGAACCTGTTGCTTAGGAACAGTCATTGTGAGTTAAGTTCATGAGGCAGTAGGAATATGACAAGGGGTCATTTAGGCAGACGGGATGTGGTGGGCCATAGATAGTATCGTTAAAGCATGGGACAGTTTTGATGGCAAGTTTTAGCACAATGTTGGAAGCATGTAAGTGGAATAGGGATGGCAGAGAGCAGATAGTTCCGTATTGTGTTAAAGTGCTAAAGCGCGCCAAAGTAATGTCAACATTAGAGGGCTGTAGTTACGGTAAATGTAAGGAGAGTTTATTTAGATAAGAGTAGTAATAGGATTAGCAATGAAAATTTTGGTTTAGAAGAGAATGATCTTAGGGCAGTAATAATTAGGTGAAAGTATTTAGTAAGCTAGGTTTGGGTCTGTACTTGCCTTGGGCGTTTGTCTAGGGCAACATGTTCAAAGTGTCAGTCATTATGAAAGCAAAAGTGGATTAGATGATATCAGCCAAGTAGACATTGGAGGAGGGAGTTCTCCAAAGCAGTGTTTAGTCACAATCGTGTATTTTCACTCAATGATGTTATATTTTCATGCAGGTTTAAAATAAGTAAGCTAGGTATTCAGAGTGGAAAAAATATGATCTCACAAAACATGGAATTAAGATTTATGTTACACTTTATTGGGGTTGAAGAAAGATTGCAGGCATGATGGCATGAATTTAGATGATGCAAGAATGATGATTAGCAAATAGTGATTAAGTAGGAGTAGGTTATGGTGATACAAAAGGCAAAGGTGCATACAAAAGATGGTAACTTGTATTGGTTTAGGGAAGTAGTATGCCAAGATCAGATTATTTTATGCTGCACTGACTTCAAAAGTAGTAATCATTGTGTAGGAACAAGGACGTGAGTGGTTGCCTAGGAAGTCTGTGAGAGGATCAAGATTTGCTTGAGGAAGTCAGTGGAATGTATCAGAGACTACGTTTTACCAACTGATCATATGGAGTCTTGACAGCTTGGGTTGATGAAAGTGCAGCGAAGAACTTGCAGTTGTTCGTGCTAGGGCCTGTTTGGTCTGTTATATGGAGAATTGTAGTTAAGTTGGAGGGGTTCAGGATTCAAAACTGTTAAGCCCAGTCTCGAGGAAGGGTGATGAGGTTTTTAAATTTTTGGGAAAAAATTGGACATGGAGGAAATACAAATCAAATTATTAAATGTTATATCTTTATGAAAAGGAAGGGGGTTTGGGTCCCTAGAAGGTTTTTTAAGGGTTTAAATAAAATTTTTTTTAGGGGGCCTGGACTTCCGCAGGCATGGTGAGGTTTTAAAAAGTGAGGAAAAAAGGTTTTTTAAAGCGGCCTTTAAAAATAAATTTATGGGGGAAAATTTGGGGAAAAAACCCCCGGGGGGTTTTTTTTTTTGGGAAAAGGAATATGCCTGATTAGGGGGGGTTTTTTTTTTTTTTTTTTTGATTAAAAACTTTGAAACACCCTTCTGGAAAAAAATGGGAAAAGGAAAAATTTAAATTTTTTTTTTTTCCCCCCATTTGGTGGGGGGGGCCAAATTTTTTTTAAAAAAAAAATAAAATTTAAATTTTTAATTAAATTTTAAAAATTTTAATTTTAAATATAAAAAATTTTTATAAAATAATTTTTATATTTTATTTCCTTTTAAAAAAATTTTTATTTTTTTTTCCAAAAAAAAATTTTTTTTACAGGGCCCCCCCCAAAGTTTATTTGGGCAAAAAATTTAAAAAAAAAAAAAATTATTTTCCTTTTTTGGAAAAATGATTTTTTTTTTTAAGAAAAATTTTTTAAAAATTTATTAAAAATTTGGGGGTTTCCTTGAAAAGCCCCTTTGTTAGGGGGAAATTTTATTTTAGCCCCCCCCAATTTTTAAAAAGTACAAAAAAAATTTTTTTAAGAAATTTTTTTTTTTTCAATGGCGGCTTCAATTTTTAAAATTCAAACCAGATTCAATTTAGCCCCTTTTCCAAATTTACCAAAATTTAAAAAAGCCAAACATTAGGGCCCGAATAAAAAAGAAAACTTTTGGTAAAGATTTTTTATTTTATTTTTAGTTTTGGGGTTTTTTTAATTTTTGCTTTACTTTAATTTTTACCCAAAAAAATAAAATTTTGTTTGAAAATTTTTTTTGAAAGTTTGGATTTTTTTTTTTTTTGGGAAAATTTTCCCCAAAGGGCTGTTGAAAAAAAAAAAAATTTAAAATTTTAAAAATAAATTTTTTAATTTATAAATTAAATTTATTTTTTAAAAAAAATAAAAAACCCAAAACAGATTGTTTATTTTAAAAAAAAAAAAACTGAATTTAAAAAAAAATAATAAAAAATTTTCCCTTATTTTATTAAAAAAAAAAAAAAAAAAAAAAAAAAAAAAAAAAATTTTTTTTTTTTTCATTATACTGTGCTCAGGATTTTTTTTTGATTAAAATTTTAAAAAATCCAAAGGCCCCCCCCTTTTTTCCCCCCAATTTATCCAGTTTTTTATACTTAAGTAAAAACACTGGTTTAAACGTACTTTTCACGGGAAAAATAAATTTTTTTAAGGGGGGTTTATTTCCCTTTGGAGGGGAAAATTTTTGGTTTTTTATACAAATTTTTTTAAACTTTTAAAAATTTTGAAATTGCAAAAGTTAAATTTATTGGGGTTAAAGGGTTTTGGGGAAATTTATGAAAAAATTTTCTTTTTGGGGGTTTTTTTTTTTTTTTTTTGGGGGGTTTTTTTCGGGGGGAAACCTTTTGGGGAAAAAAAAAAAAAAAAAAAAAAAATTTTTTTTTTTATAAAATTTAAATTTAAATTTTTTAAAATTTTAAAAAAATTAAATTTTTTTTATAATTTTTTTAAAATATTTTATCCAAAAAAGAAATTGTTTTTTTGGTTTTCGGCGAAAAACTTGAAAAAGGGCTAATATGAAATTTTTGGGGTTTTTTAACAAAGGGGTTAAAAATCGGCACCCTAAGATGTTCAAAATTTGGGTAACATACCCAAATTCCCCGTTTATTTTTACAAATTTAAGTTGCTAAATAAATTTTTTTTTAAAAAAAATTTGTTTAAAAAAAATAAGCAATTTTTTTTTAAAAAGGGGAAAAAAACTAATAAACGGGTGTTTTTAGTGCCCCTTTTTTTTTCTGGGGCCATTTTTTCCCAAATTTTTTTTTGTGGAAATTTCCCCCAATTTAAATTACCATTTTTTTTAATTAAATTTTTTAAATTTCTTTCTTTAAAAAATAACAAAAAAATAAAATTTTTTACTGGGGGAATTAATTGGTAAAATAGGTCAAAGTGGGGAAAATTGGGGGTTTTTAAAATTTCCAAAAAATTTGGAAAAGGGAATTCGTAATTTTTTTAAAAAAAAGACCTTTTTTTTTCCTTAGAAAAATTTTATTTTTGGAATTTTTTTTTTTTAAAAATTTTTTTGTTAAATTTTTTAGGGGGTTGGGCAAGAAAGGGGAAAAACTATTTCTTGAAAAAATTTCTTAAAAGTATTGCTTAGTCAGGAAAATTGCCCATTTTTTCATTTTCCCCTTTGGGGGGCCCCCGGGATTTTGGGGGCCCTTTGCAGCCCTTTTTTAAAATTTCACATAGGGTCCGGAATTTCCATTCTCTACATCCCCCCCCCAAAAGGGCTTTACAAAAAACAAAAAAAATTTAAAAAAAATTTTTTTTAAAACAATTAAAAAGGGAAAAAAATAAAAAAGGGGGAAAAAATTGAGGGTTAAAAAGCTGCTTAGCTGATAAACGCGCTCAAAGTACTGGTCCATTAAGGGCTGTTTACAAATTAAGGAGCTTTATATATATATATATATTAAAAAAAATTTTTGTTTATGAAGACGAATTATTAGGGCAATAATAATCTTAGGTGAAAATCAGTACGTAGTTAAGAGTCTTACCTTGGCCTTGGGCTTGTCTAGCACCTTTCCACAAGTTCTCATTATCTGGCACAGACACTCCAGATCCTCAGCCAAGTCAACCATTGGTCGACGCCGACGCTTCTCCAACAGCTGTTTAGTCACAATCCATTATTTTCCACCTCAATTAATAGTTATATTTTCACACTGCCAGGTTTACTCCAAACTAAGTAACCATATTCCAGATTAAAATAAAATGATTCTCAAAAACATGAAATTAAAGATTTATGTTACACTTATGTTCGAAAAGCTTGCATGCACTAATGGCATAATTTAAAATGCACAAGAAATGCATGTTAGGCAAATAGTATTACAGTAGAGCTACATATTTAAAATACTGGCACACTAGCATACAACTTCCTAAGATGGTAACCTTTGTATTGGTTTAGGAAAGTATGCCAAGAAACTAGAACATATTTTATGCTGCACTGACTTCAAAATTTATAATCTTGTGTCGTACCAGGATAAGTAATTACCTAATCTGTGCTTAAGAGGATCGAAAGTATGCTTGAGGTATCGTCTTCAGTCAGGATTTTTGTATCCAGTGACTCACACACACTACCACACTGAATCCATTTGAGAAGTCTTCCACTATTTGTGAAGAAATAATTCTCTAGTTGCCTTCTGCCTAGCCTTTTTCTTTATATGTTGTATGTTATAACTTAAGGGTTCCAGGAATCATTATCTCTACAGCCCAGTCTCAGATCAGGCCTGCACAACTAGAAAGGACTTAGTACAAAAACTAAGAAACAAGAAAGTGAATACATACACAAGTTTGTATAATTTACACATCATTTGAAATGTAAACTGATAAGAAAAGACCAGAGCAAAAGTTAAGAGGCTTCCATTTCACACTTATGTCAAGATTAACTCATCTCCCTCAAGAGCTGTGAATATAAATATTTTTTTTTTTTCAACAAGTCGGCTGTCTCCCACCGAGGCAGGGTGACCCAAAAAAAGAAAGAAAATCCCCAAAAAGAAAATACTTTCATCATCATTCAACACTTTCACCACACTCGCACATTATCACTGTTTTTGCAGAGGTGCTCAGAATACAACAGTTTAGAAGCATACATATATAAAGATACACAACATATCCCTCCAAACTGCCAATATCCCAAACCCCTCCTTTAAAGTGCAAGCATTGTACTTCCCATTTCCAGATCCCTCCAAACTGCCAATATCCCAAACCCCTCCTTTAAAGTGCAGGCATTGTACTTCCCATTTCCAGGACTCAAGTCCGACTATATGAAAATAACCAGTTTCCCTGACTCCCTTCACTAAATATTACCCTGCTCACACTCCAACAGATCGTCAGGTCCCAAGTACCATTCGTCTCCATTCACTCCTATCTAACACGCTCACGCACGCTTGCTGGAAGTCCAAGCCCCTTGCCCACAAAACCTCCTTTACCCCCTCTCTCCAACCCTTTCGAGGACGACCCCTACCCCTCCTTCCTTCCCCTATAGATTTATATGCTTTCCATGTCATTCTACTTTGATCCATTCTCTCTAAATGACCAAACCACCTCAACAACCCCTCTTCTGCCCTCTGACTAATACTTTTATTAACTCCACACCTTTTCCTAATTTCCACACTACGAATTTTCTGCATAATATTTACACCACACATTGCCCTTAACCCTTTGAGGGTTTCGGACGTACTAGTACGGCTTACGACCCAGGGTTTTTGACGTACTAGTACGCCTAAATTCTAGCGCCCTCAAATCTAGTGGGAGAAAGCTGGTAGGCCTTCATATGAAAGAATGGGTCTATGTGGTCAGTGTGCACAGTCTAAAAAAAATCCTGCAGCACAGTGCATAATGAGAAAAAAAAACTGACCCTTTTTTTGGAATAAAACAGCGACTTTGCACTGCATTTTCGTATGGTATTTATTGTTGTATTCTAGTTTTCTTGGTCTCATTTTATAAAATGGAAGACATATTACAGAAATTGAGATGATTTTGACTGGTTTTACAATGAAAGATACCTTGAAATTTAGCTCAAAGTAGCAGAAATGTTCGATTTTTACCAAATTTCAAAAGTAAACAAATCGTGCCAATGGTCCAATACACGTCAAATGGCGAGTCTAATATTCTTTCACAAGTGCGCCAATAATATTTATACCATTTTTTACACTAATGCAGTAGTCTGCATAACAGTAAATCTTATATTTTTTGTGAGAATAAAAATTCAAAGTGGAAAGCAAAAGAATATAAGAGGGGCCTTGAGACGTGACTAATGACCAGAGGAAATGTCATTTTAGTGCCAGGAATGTCTTTCTTGTTTATTCTGGACCCTATTCGGAAATTGGCATCTTTTGAAATTTGTATGAAATTGGCAAAATTGCTGAATTCTGACCACTGTACTGGATAGTTGAATTTCATAAATGGGTGGTTTCTTGCACCCATTCGATAGAAAAAAATGGAGTTCTAGCGAAATATTCATGTTTTTTGTCGACTAGTACAGTGGAATTGGCCGAAAATGGGGCTCAAAGTGGGCAAAATCACCGATGCGTAAATATCCCCGAGACCGCTAACTTCGCTAGAGCATAATTCCGTAAGTTTTCCATCCAATTTCAAACTTTTGGTGTCCTTATGATCGGGAAAAGATTCTCTATCTTTTCATAAGAGAAAATTATTTTTTTTTTTTTTTAAATTTGGCCAACCCTGAGAACGAGTTTCGGAGAGGGCCTGTCGACCCTCAAAGGGTTAAACAGGACATCTCCACTGCCTCCAACCGTCTCCTCGCTGCTGCATTTACCACTCAAGCTTCACACCCATATAAGAGTGTTAACGGTACTACTATACTTTCATACATTCCCTTCTTTCCCTCCATAGATAACGTTTTTTGACTCCACATATACCGCAACGCACCACTCACCTTTTTTCCCTCATCAATTCTATGATTAACCTCATCCTTCATAAATCCATCCGCCGACACGTCAACTCCCAAGTATCTGAAAACATTCACTTCTTCCATACTCCTCCTCCCCAATTTGATATCCAATTTTTCTTTATCTAAATCATTTGATACCCTCATTACCTTACTCTTTTCTATGTTCACTTTCACCTTTCTACCTTTACACACATTCCCAAACTCATCCACTAACCTTTGCAATTTTTCTTTAGAATCTCCCATAAGCACAGTATCATCAGCAAAAAGTAACTGTGTCAATTCCCATTTTGAATTTGATTCCCCAAAATTTAATCCCACCCCTCTCCCGAACACCCTAGCATTTACTTCCTTTACAACCCCATCTATAAATATATTAAACAACCATGGTGACATTACACATCCCTGTCTAAGACCTACTTTTACCGGGAAGTAGTCTCCCTCTCTTCTACACACCCTAACCTGAGCCTCACTATCCTCATAAAAACTCTTTACAGCATTTAATAACTTACCACCTATTCCATATACTTGCAACATCTGCCACATTGCTCCTCTATCCACTATCATATGCCTTTTCTAAATCCATAAATGCAATAAAAACTTCCCTACCTTTATCTAAATACTGCTCACATATATGCTTCAATGTAAACACTTGATCTACACATCCCCTACCTACTCTGAAACCTCCTTGCTCATCCGCAATCCTACCGTACACTTTTCCTGGTATACCTTAAGTTATTGAATATGGTTAATATTTCTTCCCCACCCCAGTCTACCAATAAGAGAAGTTTCAGCATACCTAGCCTAAGGATGGGTATGGGGTGTATAATAAAGGTATTACACTAACCAGTCTTCTTAGTAATTCTTATTTCTAAATGTTGGTATCTACATTCCATTATGT